GAAAGGGCCCGATCACCCTGAAGAGACCCCCAGCAGAGTCGGGACTTGAAAGCGGGCCTGAAACTCCCTCGCTAACCAAAATTTCTGTTCACTACGGAGACAAAATCGCCGCTGTATTTCCTGTCCTCGAACACTTCCTGACATGGGGAAGATAACAAAGGGGAAAGTTTAAAGTAATAAATATACCCGATCTGCTTCTCTCCCCAAGTGCTGCCGGTGCTAAGGCCAGGCAGCACTCGACTGAAGAGAAACTGGGCTTTTCCAGTTTTCCAGTTCTTTTCCAGCCCGACCCATGCTCTGACATCTCCTTAACATCTTTTAAGTATTTTCCTCACCCCAGAATTTCTGGGGGAGGAGGGGTGAGTCTATGTGTTTGTGCGTTTACACCAACTTCCAGAGACCTCACTCCCCTGCTTACACTACCCGTGGCAGTGTGTCCATTCCTGACTGGATGAATAAGTGGGGCCGGTGATGCCGGCCAGTCCTGTGGTGACACTCTGAGTGTTACTGAACTCCGTAAAAGCTTTAGAAGAGAAAGGATGGCTTCTTTCTCTCCTTTTTTTTTTTTCTTTCTTTTCTTTTCTTTTCCTTCTTTTTTTTTTTTTTTTTTTTAATTATTATTATTAAATTAAGCGGTAATGGGATTTAATAAGCCAAATTGTATTATTAAAACTCGGGAAGGTTTCCTGGGCGAGCAGAAGCCCACTGACAGGTTTTCTTCTGTTTTGATAGATTTAGTGCTGTTATGGTACACTTCTCCCTCACAGGCAGTAGCTCGAAGATTAAAGATCGCACACCTCTAGATGAGTCAAAGCCTACATCCCAGAGCAGCTAATACATTTCGTGATTGATTTCTCCGCTGTTGTTTCCAGTTTCAGCCTTGTGCGAGACCTCTTCGCCTCTCGGCACATCGCACGGGCTCCTCGCCGCATTCCGTAAGACAGTGAGGGGAAATCTGAACCTCTGTGAACCTCAAATCCAGACTCTTCTTGCACAGCATCCTTTTGGTCCATAGCTCCTTAAGAAAAGTTTTAAGCTAGAGCTGACTGAAGGAACATTTCTGTCTGCCCGAATGGCGAGGCTGCGCTGAGCCACCGCCATGCCTGGAACAAAAATAGCCCTCTCGACCGGAGCCAGAGGTGCGCTGCCTCTGTGACCGGGTCCCTTGCTCAGAGCCCTGGGAGTGTAAACGCGACAAGCTCCGGCAGGGCGGGCAAGGAGTCCCTGATGCGCCGCTCGCACCCGGCACTCGGCCGCCGCACCCCGGTACTGCCTCAGTCCCTACCAAGGGCATCTCACCCAAGTCCTAGCCAGCCCACTGCCTCTCCTCCGAAACAAGCAATACCTCTAATCGTTTCACAAAGATGATTTTTTCTCCTTTTTTTTTTTTTTTTTTTTTTTTAACCCCTTCCCTGGGAAACCATCCTGGTTTTCGTCACTAAGCAAATTCAGCACAGAATTTATAATGGTGCTTTAAAGGACAGAAAGGGTTAATTGCCGTTGTAGGTTTGGTGGTGTTTTTTGTTTGGTTGGTTTTTTGTTGGTTTTGTTTTGGGGGTTTTGTTTGTTTGGTTGGTTTGTTTTGGAGGTTTTTTTGGACCCCGTTCCCTTCCCTCGAATGCATATAATCTCATTTAAGCCCCTCAGCGTGATGAAAGCTATTGATTGTCGTGTAGAGTCACAGACTTTTAGCAGGCTCTCCCAGCCCCCATCCCAAAAAAGAAAAAAAATACGAAAAGGGAAAAAAAGAAAGTATATTTTCGGAAGTGTCTCAAATATGTACAAATCCCATTTTATGTCTTCCCATTCACGTGCATATTGATATCATAAAAGATAAATCCTTCAGCAGGGTTTTTCTCTCAATACCTTATTCATTGAGACTGGCAGTTCCAGTCATTATTCCACTCCCTTAAACCCGATTCTGATGCCGGCTAAATATAGAGCTTCGCCTTACTGGGAACGCGAATCGAATACACAGTAAGCAAATCAGTAGCACGGGAGGGGAAAAAAACCCTTGATCAAAGCCCTCCTTTTCTTCCCAATCCTGGTTTGTTGGGGCGGAGACAGGTTTCTCGTTTATTGCACATCATTTGCAAAGATCAAGCTTAACATGCAGTCACCTCTTGCAGAAGTAGTAGTTAAACCAAAAGTTAGGGGGTGGGGGTTAATAGAATTACAACCAAATGGAATTATTTTCAAGCAGGGTGTAACGGTGAAAAATAAGGTGTGTTATTTCAAAGCTGGGAGGAGTTGTACTTTAATCAGGTCAAATTTCCAAAAGATATACAAACATCCAAGGGGAAAAAATGAATAGGATGCAGTGCAGAAAAATACCTTCCGTCTTTCAGTCTTGGAAAACTCTGTTTTTTGTTGGTTTGTTTTTTGGTGTTCGGTTTGTTTGGGTTTTTTTCCCCTCAGTCATTGGGGTTTGGTTTTGTTTTGTGTTTTTTTGGTGTTGTGTTTTTGTGGGGTGGTGGGTTTTTTTTTTTTTTTTTTATTACTCGGACCTTTCTCCAACTCAGAGCGCGACAGGTCACCCCGGACGAAGGGGTATGGGGGGGAAGGGGGCCCGGGCATGCTCTGTGGGGAGGGTTGGGGAGGGGAGGAAGGTGACATTTGCAGAGGGATAGGGACACAAAAGCTCCGATACGCGCCCACCGCGCGGGGCCGCGGTCGGTCGCCCCTCGACCAGCAGAGGTCGCCGCGGTCTCTGCGCGCCCAGGTGCGGGGAGAGGCTGGTCGGGCACCGCGCTGTGCCCGCGGAGCGGAGCCCCCGCCCCGAGCACCGTAACGCCAAGCGCCGGAGCAGGGGGATTTCGGGGCCATGGGCAGCACGGGGCGCGGCGCTGAACCCCGGCCCGGCCCTACCCGGCCCGGACGGCACCGCAGCCCGCCGATTTGAGTGAAATTGGCTATCTACTATCTGTTTGCCCCAAACACGCGCCAGGCTGACCGAAGCTGTCACGCTTGGCAGTCATTGGTCATAACTGCTCTTTGGTTTACTCAGCTAACACAGAGAATTATAGGTGTTATTCTTATACCTAATTACCTAGGATGCATAATTATATGTATACTAGTTTTTATGTATATATATGTGTGTATATATATATGCGTGTGTGTGTGTGTGTATGTATTCACATGTACACCTCCCCCAACATATATATGTATATCGCCAGTTTCTTGGGTGTGGAAGTGATCACCTAGCAGAGTTGCATTTCCCACTGTTTATTTAAACGTTGAATATGTAAATTCACTGTGTGCCCGTGTTTACAATCATATCTCTACCTCCTGAAACTGTCTTGAGATCATTTCAAGCCAGATTAGTTATCTCCACAATTGGCAACGTTGGATCCCACTTCTTGTTTGAAATAAACCTGGAGAGTGTGTTTGCCCCCTCAGCCTCAGAAAGGAAAATATCTTGCAAAGTTAGTAATCCGAGAAGATCCGTTGTTTAGTAGCTGTCTCATCAGCAAATGTGAGTTTCAGAACTGTTTCTTGACTGTTTCCTTTCAAGCAGATTTCTCCTAGGTAAAATATTCTGCATTAATATGGCTTTGCCTCTCTTACACCCAAACTCAGTTGCCTTTTAAAAACATAGGACATTGAAAACAGATATATTTTCCTGGTGCATAGCGATTGGAGGGCACTTCTACACTACGTTGTTGAGGGCGGTGTAATAGTCCATATGAAACAGAAGACAAAAATGGGATCTAAACAAACTCAAAGGGGACGTTTAAATCGCGGGGTGGAGAGGGTGGGTGTCAGAAGGGCATGGGGCGGACACGCTCGGGAACGGGTACAGTTCCTCACACAGGCTAAACGACAGGCACAGAGTAACCGAAGGGGAGCCTGCCCTTTGAAAAACACACACAAAGAAATCAGTGCCCAAGGAAAAGTTGCATTTTGCCTGGTTTGGGAAATTTTCAAATAACTGCCCGCTGGAGTCCGAGGTGCACCATGCGCCCCTGAGCAGCCGCAGCACACCGCACCCCGCTTGGCCGCGGCTCTCGGCTGAGGAATTCCCATAACGCCTCCAGGGAGCAGCGCAGCAGATCCTTTCTAACAGCAAGTGTGCGTCTTCTCTGCACCTTTTTTAATAAGAATTTTAAGGGATTCTCCTTGGGGAAAGGCAGAAGTTCTTGAGAGACAATTTAAGGTAAATATTTGCACCTCCTTGGACCTTGTATTTAATAGAAATACATGAAGATTTTATCCGCGGTTTTAAGAGAAAAGGAGGCTGGAGGGTAAACACAAACCGTCCCATCTCGCGGCTGGGGCCATGCCCAGCCTACCCACCCTGCCCTCCCTCGGGGAACTCGGGGCAGTTCCGCCTGGCCAAACCGGAGCGTGGAAAGATAAACGTTCCTAAAGGAAATAGTTGGGCTAATAAAAATAGTATGTGTACACACATATGTGTGTGTGTGTGTATATATATATATATGTATATACAGACATATATATATATATGTATATATGTATGGATGGAAATGGTATACAGGGTAAGGCAAACCCGGTGGTGGGGGAGAAGGTGAAGGAGCCCGAGCCGGGGCTCGGGGAAAGCAAAACGAAAGGTGTAACGGGAGATAAGCGGTGGAGATGGAGGAGAATCGAACAAGAAGTATAAAAGGGGGGAAACACAAATAAGGAGCGGGGGGAAAAGTTGCCCGGGCGAACCCGAGCCGGGCCCGCGGCGCCGCCAGACGCCGACACACGATAATGGGGGGGCCGCTGCGCCGCGCCGCCCGCCGCCAATGGGCGCGCGCGGGCGTGACGTCCCCGCGCGTGACGTCGGGCCAATGGCGAGCGGGCTGAGTTGGAGCAGAGAAGTTTGAGTAAGAGATAAGGGTGAGGCGAGTGCCCGCAGCCGCCAGCGCCCAGCTCGGCACCGCCGCGCCTCCGCACCGGCACTGCACCGCGCCGCACCGACACTGCGCCGCACCGACACTGCGCCGCCCCGCGCCGCTACCGCACCGCCACCGCACCGCCACCGCTCCGCTCCGCGCCGCGCGGCCGGATCCCGCCGCGCTCCGGCGCCGCGCCCCGCACCGCGCGCCCCCTGAGCGCTCCGCAGCCCTGACACTGTCTCCCCACGCCGGTGGTGTTTTGTGCCATTTTCTTTTTTTTTTTTTTTTCTTTTTTCCCGATTTCGATTTTTTTCTTTTTATTATCACGACTTTTTTTTTTTTTAATTTTATTTTTGTTTTTAGCGACAGCTTACAAACCTACTTTGGGGTCTTAAAACGAAACCGTACACCATTTCACTGTGGACATTACACCCTCTTTCAGATATGGGAGACATGGGAGACCCACCAAAAAGTAAGGCGGAATCTTTACCGTTGTTGGAATAAATGTGCTGTCTATTGTAACCGTCTCAGGCAGGCGAACTGCTAGTGCTGAACTTCATTTGAATGGTATAGAAGGTGCCTTTGTTGCCATGCCTGCATGCTTACTCTGTTTTAACGTCGTAGCGTTATATGTTAACAGCCTGGGGTTCTGCTCTCTTTTAAAGTTTGTGGAGCAGACAGGATTTTAATGGGATCTCCAAACATGGAGCCTTAAGTTCTTCTTGTGATAGACTGCGGTGAGGCTAACTGTCCAGCACCTAGTCGGTCTAGGGTAGTTCGTATTAGGCTTGCAAAGGCAGCAAATGACAACCTTAATGATGCTCGTTCTTGCTAGAAGCCTCGACTCCCCTCTTCTGAGGGAAAAGTCTGAATGGAAAGTGCACGCAGCCATGCTTCATCGTTTCCAGTCACAGCCTCTTAAAATATGAAATAATACACAGAGCTTCTGTCCTCCTAAGGCAGGGCATTCAACCAAGAAAATAATAAAATAAAAATAAAACAACATGAGGGTTTGGAGTTTTGATTCCATGCAAGGCTTGTGAAATGAGGACCTTCACCCCAAAGACTCTTCACATTTGCGTTTTACCATATGTTCCGCCTCCTTTCTTAACGAGGCAAGGTTTTGATGGCACACTTCAGTTATCATCCAAAAGTGCAATACAAAAAAAAACCCCAAACCCAAGACCAATAAACCCATTTAAAAAACCCCCAAAACCCACACAAAATCCCTCAAAACAAACAAAAAAGGCAAAACACAAACAACAACACTCTCAGAATACGCTTTATAAGGGAATGGCATTAAAAGTGTGTTTATCTCTGTAGGAGAGTAAACGGTTAGTCAATCATGTATTTATTTTCATTTCAGAAAAACGTCTGATTTCCCTATGTGTTGGTTGCGGCAATCAAATTCACGATCAGTATATTCTGAGGGTTTCTCCGGATTTGGAATGGCATGCGGCGTGTTTGAAGTGTGCAGAGTGTAATCAGTATTTGGACGAGACCTGTACGTGCTTTGTTAGGGATGGCAAAACCTACTGTAAAAGAGATTATATCAGGTACGCCATTTATATTTAATTCTTCGGTGAGATTTTATTTTTATGTTGTTTAATTCTTCGGTGAGATTTTATTTTTATTTTTAAGTTTATAAATTTGACAGACGCATAAAGAGGAAAAATTGAGAGGAAGAGGTTAAAGACAACTGGTATATTTTTACGTGGTTTCCCATAGACAGACCGGCAAGGAAAAAAGGTAGTCGTGAAGTTTTTTTCCATAAATTCAAATGCAAATTTCTGTATAAACAAAACTAGGTTCGGGACTGTGTACGATCTTTCTGAGGACTTTGTCAAGTAAACCTCTGATTCTAACAAAGTGGGAAATCGTAGGTAATGGATATTTTTAACCATGTAGATATTATTAGCAATATAGAAGTGATTGCTTTCTAACGCAACCTGAGAAAAGCATCCCTCTGTGTTTTTGCAAAGGCAGAATGGCATTCATAAGAAAGACTCTTCAAGCGTGTATGCCGCAAAAATAAATACACGGGTGAAAAAAAAAAATACTTAAACCAGGCCTGTCTAAAACAGAAAGCAAAAGGAAAACAAAAACAAAAAGCAAATTTCCTTCATATTGAAGATTCCTTTTATGGCGATGTTAAAACCTAGACTGAAATGTTTCTTAGCTAAAATAATTGACATTTAATCTTTTTAAATATTAACCCCTTTGGTGATATCTGACTGCCTTTGCTTTCTTATCTTATCTGTGCTGATGAATTAGACAGACCAGATCAAATTGCCCATCATCTGTTCGCGAACAATTGGGTATATTTAGATAATGGAACCGCTTCCTTCCTCACATTAAAATCTGGTAACTGATAAAATGTGAACGTTGCCAATCCTGACACTATAGAGAAACCAAAGCAGGAATTTCGAGTGTGTTTATTATTTGTGCTCTTGGGTCATGCTGATCCATTTCAGTGTCACCTACTGGGTTTACCAAATCAGAAGTTTGAATGACACTGTGGTATGAAAAGTATTTTTTTTTTACAGAAAGTTTTGGAAGCAAGTCCCTGAGACACCTAAAATATCGTCTGATTTTTGTGCAATTCTGAACTGAATAAACCCCTTGACTCCTTCCTGCTCCAGTGCACAATTTATAAACAGACCATTCCTTCAAGCCATTGTGAGATTATTCTCCAAGTTTTATAATGACGAAAACCAGAGCTTTTAAGCTTTATTTATTTATTTATTTAGTTATTTATTCTTTACTTTTAAACGAACTTGGGGCCATTCTTTTAAGTGTTGTCCTTTCACTGATTTCAAATGAAAGGAAAACGTTCGGACTGAATTGTGTTCACTTACCTCCTGATGGAACTCAGCGGGAGAAATGTAAGCAGAAAAAAACAAAAAAAACCCCCACCACTCTTTTAAGTTAATATGGAATACATTTAATTTGCTACAATTTAAAAAGGAATATGTATGTTACATGCAAGGTGACTTTGAATTAGACCGTGAGCCAATCTATAGGTGTCAATCCTGTGGGCAACTACCACAACTTTTGTACATATGAATGCACATGCTTTATGATCACTCTGTTCTTCTGCTGTTTAGCTGTTTGTTTGGGGGTTTTCTTCTCAAAACTTTATAATTTGGATATATGTAGCTCTGAATACAGGACTAACACACCTTTATAGCCGTAGCAGCTAAAGAAGTGTTTAAATAACATCTGTACCCACATACATGTTTTACAGACTGTATCTCCAAGAAAGTATACTGGTGAGGAAATGAGTAGGAATAAATATTATCTCAGTTTTAGGAGCAGTTTTCACAGTTCTATGGATCATGAGCATGCATATGTGCATATATCCGTACATTTGCAGAAAGTTGTTAATTTTACATCGTATCAAGAAGGCTTCTGGCTAAAGAGCACTCGTTGGGAGCCAAAAGACTGCAGTGCTAGACACCAGAGTTGGAGAATTTCTCGTGTTTATCTGCTGATGGGTGAACTGCCCCCCTTTCCTCCACGGGAGACGAGGAGCCCGCCACCCACTCCTAAAACCTATTATTTGCCTTCTGGGGTTGTCAGCAAGGAGCTGCCCTCTCATTCCTGCAAGAAGGCTTGAGCCCTAGCTCAAGGTGGGAGCGGCAGAAGAAGGGAAAACAGAGTAGGGAGGATGAAGAAGGGACAGGCTGCAAAGCCAGAGCACCCAAACTGCCTTTTATTTGGAGGCAGAAGAGAGGAGTTACGTTACTATATATGTAAGCCTGAGGAGACGTGTATGCTTATATTGTTGTATAAAATTAACCTGGTGAGAGGGGACGAGAGGAAGAGGCTGTGCACTGGCAGCCACCCCTGCTGCGTTTCAGAGGCTAAGCTAACGGCAGTCCAGGCACACATTAAGCGGCACAAGTCCTTAGTGGGTTCCGCTCAAATGAATATGATAGTTTTGTGAGGCTGGCAGGTTTGTGCGTGGGGAGTGCATGGCAGCTTTGGCAGCGTCACCTTTCCGCGGTATACCCGGGTAGTCCAGTTCAGTCCCAGGCCAGGTTAGGTCAGGTGAGGAGGCAGGGAGAGGGCAGGAACGGCCCCACTCCCTCTTCAGCTCGGGCGCTGGGGCAGCAGGGAGAGGTCGGATCTCCTCGGGAAGCAAAGGGGTCCTTTTTTTTTCTCCTTACGCTTTTTGCCTCACCACTCTTCCACTGGTGCTTTCGGGTCCCCTCCACCTTTTACGGCATGGGGATCAGCGCACGGACAACAAACGAACCCGGCTTACTCCTTTCCTCTTCTGGTTTCTTTATTTTTCGTACTTTTTAAAGAAGTGGATTGCGTGTGGCGCGTCTATACGGGGCCAGGGGCTGCCCACGAGCGGGAGTGAAAACTTCTTTCTTTTTTCCTTTCCTTTCTCCCCCCCGCCCCTTCCCTACCCTCCCCTTCCCCCTCCTGTGCTCTCCCTCCTTCCCTCCCTTCTCCTTCTTTCTGGGCTGGGCCCTGATCAGGTTATACGGCATCAAGTGCGCCAAATGCAGCATCGGCTTCAGCAAGAATGACTTCGTGATGCGCGCCCGCGCCAAGGTGTACCACATCGAATGTTTCCGCTGCGTGGCCTGCAGCCGCCAGCTCATCCCTGGCGATGAATTCGCGCTGCGGGAGGACGGCCTCTTCTGCCGGGCGGACCACGACGTGGTGGAGCGGGCCAGCCTGGGCGGTGGGGACCCCCTCAGCCCCCTGCACCCCGCCCGGCCGCTGCAGATGGCAGGTACCGCCCGCGCCCAGCGCCGCGGGAGCCCGCGGGGTTTGGCCATGCCCGGCCCCACGCAGGGCGGACGGGAGAGCTCCACGCTCCCAGAGGGTTCCGCACCTCCTTGGAGAGGCGGCGGGCGACTGCCCCATGCCCGGGGCTGCCGCGGGTCCTGCTGCCGCGAGAAACGCCCGGGTTCGCGGGACGCGTGAGGCGGGACACCTGCGGAGGGGCCGCACCCCCGCTCCTCCTGCCCCCAACGCGCACCGCGGGCGGGAGTCCTCCGTCACGCTCTCCCGAGCCCTGAGCCTGAGTCTGAGCCGGAGAGGGACGAGCCGCTGCGGGGAGCAGGTCTACGGCAAAACGCCGGCCGATCCCCCGGCCGCCTCAGGAGAGTGTGCAGAAGCTGTTCTGAACGCTGGAGGAAGTGGGGTCCTAAAAGAGATAGACTTCATAAGTACAGGCGAGCGCTTAGGCTGTAATTTAAAACTGTCAACAGGCTAATCTTCGGTAATTGCCTTTTAAAGTGACTCTACCTTCTTGAAATATTTCTTGTGATTTGATGAGAATTTCATCTCAAAACTCAGCCTAGTAACTTCAGACTCGCCCCACCTTACAACTTCACTCACACTTGTAGTTCTCGACGTGGCACGTCAGATACTCAGAGACTCTTAGCTTTAGGAAGGGACACTCTCTGAAGCAAACTATGCTGGACAACACAAGATCGGCCGGCATTATTGCTGTGCATGTAACTGTAACTCGGAAGGTTATTTGCAATGTTTAGCTATGCTAAAACGGGCTCGTTTCCCTCTTCTGAGCTGCTTTCAGGTGACATTCTTATATTTAGGGAGAAATAATCCTGTACCTGATCAGGGCAGAATTCTAGAGAGACTGTGCTCCCTATAACGTGTTTGTGCATGTCTCCGAAAGCCTTATTGTGCCGGCAGGTATACTGATAAGATTTGAAGCCTTCGTATTGTCTTCATCGCATTTGCTGATGTACTATTATAATCAAAGAAACCGGAATCCGACTGCACAGAAGCGAGAACCTCAGAATGTTAGCTAAACAGTTTTAGGGGAAAAAATAGCAGTGTTTTTATTTTTCCCTTGACTCAGTCAATTTACACCTACACAGCTGTAGCTACACAACGGACAGAAGAATGGCAGAATTACAGGAACATTTCTAGCACTTGATGTGATGCTACCCGTAGGTTTGCATTTCTTGACGGTTTCCACGGGTTACTGGGCTTGCTCTCCTTTTTAAAGAATCAGATAAACTTTTTTTTTTTTTTTAATATTCTTCTGAAGTCTAAACAAATTCACCTAACACCTTCACTTTCTAAGACAGACACCATCCTCTGTGCTTTGGTATACAGGGCTCTCACAGGCTTTTCCTCCATGGGCTTGGTGCAGAGGATTTAGCTTGTTTTGCTTTGATTTGGAAGCATCAAACCACTGGGAGGTATTGCACGTTATGGCGGCTTCTGGCTAAATTCAGCTAGATTCACTATACAAGAAGCAGACTCAAATTATGATTAATTTAAGAAGTATTCTTTCATTAATTTTCGGGCCAAAAATCTGGTTTGGTGATTTGTCAGGAAATAAACACACAAAACCCTCCCACTCCTTTCCTAGTACACATACACCTTAGCAAACTCGCCCTCCCCTGTCAAGTCTCACACAGGTTCAAGCTTCTGTCATTAAGGGTTTTAGGGGGGTGGTTTGTTTTTGCAAATTAATTATCTGAGGAGTTAGAAATGTCAGTCACTCTACCAGCGCATAAAGCAGAGGAGTCTGCAACAGCTCCGATAGATCTGAGTGTTTGAATGGCCTTTGAAAGAGGGTTCATCACCGGCCCCCCCGCCCCCCTCTCCCTGTCCCACCAGCTTAGATTCATAGTCTCTGCAGACTCTCTGCTTCCTACTCATGGGGATCCTGTTCCTCCCTTCCCCTACAGCAGAACCTATCTCTGCCAGACAGCCAGCTCTGCGGCCCCACGTCCACAAGCAGCCCGAGAAGACCACCCGAGTCCGGACTGTCCTCAATGAAAAACAGCTTCACACTTTGAGGACCTGCTACGCTGCCAACCCCAGGCCTGACGCCCTCATGAAAGAGCAACTGGTAGAAATGACTGGCCTTAGCCCGAGGGTCATCAGGGTTTGGTTTCAAAACAAGAGATGCAAGGACAAAAAAAGGAGCATTATGATGAAGCAACTTCAGCAGCAGCAACCCAATGACAAAACTGTAAGTGGCTTCAGCCTCTGTCGGTGTTCTGCCTTAATTTCCAAGGCTAAACGCCTGGGATACGTCCGGCCCGGACAGCCTCAGGGCTCGGTTTGTTGCTTTTGATTTTTTGCGAACTCCCTTAAAACAAAGAAAACTGTACCTCTTAGCTATTACCCGTTTGTTTCTGCAGTCAGTGCAATCGAAACAGACGACAGCGAGGAGCCTATATAGGCTGCTTACGCGAACCCATATCTTTTGCGAGGCTAAAGATACGCAGCGGCTTAGACTAATTTCTTCTCTGCAGCGTGAATTTTGACCTGGAGGGATCATGGGATATAGTAAGCCCAGCTTTGTGTAATACTGACACTGCAAATGCAAAGGACTTCTTAAGGGGAAAATGACGTTTTCACTCTCTTTCCTCGTTTTAAACAGGAGTAAATCCAGCAGGAAAAAAAAAAAAAAGAAAAAGGAAAAAAAAAGAGGAAAAAAAAGGCATAAGGGAATTTAGATGTGTTTTTCTTAGCACTTTATATACTACAGTTTGTATAGGTGTGATAGTTGTGTGTTTGTCAGTGCACTTACTGTAGAAAAATACAAATGCAATGCAAATTTTTCGGAGTTACCATCGTGTTTACAGGTTAATTTATAGATAGTTTTGTATATTTTGAGTTGTTGCCTGCGGACATAAGCGTGCGTGATGCAAACAAACGGAAAGCAGAACAGATTGTCTCCATTTTAAGCCAATTGTTTTTTTCTTTCTATTGTCGCTAGTCCACTTCAATAAGAGTCTGTTACTCTCCCTGTGTATATTGACTGACCTGAGAATGACTATTAATTCATAAGGCTGCCTAGTTAAGTGGAATTTAAGGAGTTTCATTTTACCCTGTTGGAATGCAATAAAACACGGTGTTATTAACTTTCCTGAACAATCTATTCGTCGAGGCTTGGAGTTATATTGTACACTGTTCCTGCACCACAAGACATACTGGGAGGGCTATTTTGTTTTGTTTTGCTTTGTTTTGTTTTGTTTTGTTTTTAAGAGAGAGGTAATGACGTACCCCAGCGGATGCCGTGCAGTGGATATACGATCTAGTTAAGGTCACACAGAACAAAACCAACCTGGATGCGACATAGGAAGGGAGTAGAATTAACCGTTTCTTGTTCTGAGACGTGCATCGGCAGTCGAGATACGAAATTATCATATTTAAGAAAGCTTAGGACGGAGGCAGTATGCCTTGAGACGAATAGGAGGATTAAAGGGAAAGAAAGTAAACTTCCACTGTGATAAATGCAGCGGGTAGAAACAGGCTGACCTAGAGTAGAATAGAGTAAGACATTCACAACAGATTAACAAAGCAAATACAAGAGACCGTATAGATAAGATAGAAAGCAGTTTATTGACTCAGCACTTATATACAATGAACCTAATCAAGCTCATTAACATCTTTTGCTGGGCTGTTTACAGAATATCCAAGGGATGACAGGAACTCCTATGGTGGCTGCTAGTCCGGAGAGACATGACGGTGGTTTGCAGGCGAACCCCGTGGAGGTGCAGAGTTACCAGCCGCCCTGGAAAGTACTGAGTGACTTCGCGTTGCAGAGTGACATAGACCAACCTGCTTTTCAGCAACTAGTAAGTGTCGGTTCCCAGCCGGAGCAGGCCAGCCGGTATCAGGGGCAGTGCAATCGGGGATTCATTAAAAGTGCCGGATGCTCTCAGTGAGACGAGAAATCCAGACTAGCTGATTTTTCCCGAAATTACAAGGTGGACATGATAGCACCTAGAAACACTGAGAACTGAATTGATATCATAGGGGTTGATGCATAAATCTACCTTAGTGTACAGCAGAGCTCTTGCCAAGTTGACTGTGAGTTTGGGTAAGACCTGACCCAGGTCTGAGAATAACTCAGATTTCACACTCCTGAAAACTGAAAGCACCTCATCCAGAGAACTAAAATATTCTTCACATGTCACTTAATCGTACTTACATTTGTGAAAGCAGTTCACAAATCTAAGTGAAAAATTAAAAATTCAACCCTCCCCACTTTGGGCCAATTTTGGCTTTATGCCATAGGGTGAATTTTAAATACATGTCGTTGCAATGTCAACCCCGGGCCCTTGTTTTGTCACACACATATCAATCAATTAAAATTTTGAAGTCCTTTTTTAAAGCATATATCTCTAGATGAAACTTCATATACTACATAGCCAGACAAAAGCACCTACATATATAGCTTACTTTAAATGTTGTCCTTCTTTAGAAAGGAAATCGTTAGTACGTATTCAGGTGAAAAATTCAAGAATATAATAAATTGCCTTAAGCCAAAAGAAAACTGATCTTTTAGAACAAATTCTGTTCTTAACTCTCTGCCTACATCACCTGGCAGCTTATATGGGACCATATCATCTACACTACTTAGGCCCAACAAGGTCAATTAAGGATAGAAGTTCAACCTTAATTCAGTTTCCTGGCCTAAGTGTGTTAAAATCAGATTTTTAAAATAATAAGGTACGTTGTGTATGGTATTTCAATAATTCAAAATAATAGATATGAAAAATTAACATATAAACCCTTTTATGATCTGTTGGACATTTTTTTCTTACATGAAACAACGCAAGAAAAATGTTTGTAGCTGAATCTAACACCGTATTCAAATCTTTTAGGCTTAGTACCATGCTCTCTTGCAGAATCACTTTTCTTTTACCCGACAGCAGTCTGCAGCTTGTTTCCCTCACTGGCACACTGCACTTGCTCAGGGAAACATAGCACAGCAGCAGGACTATTTGCATTCTCTTACATCTAGAGCAACCCTTCTTTTTCCTGCTTCAATTAAACTATCCATCAGACAGGAGGAAAAATTATCTCCTTTTCTTGCCTTACTTGACTGTGCCTTAATTGATTATGAGACTTTAGAAATCTTTGATGCAGTGAGTTTTTGTATAGAATAGCCGAAAAAGAGAGAGAGAGAGAAAAAAATTAGAAGAATAGAATAGAAGATGGGTAGTTCAAATACACATATGGTTATAGATAGAGAAATCATTAGATTGACAGATAATTATTAATATACATTCGACATAATTTGTGATACCAAATTGTGATACCAAAAAGACTTAAAATAAATAGAATTTATTCTAATAAATTAGAATAGTGGATGGAATAGACAATTCATCCGCTGTTCAAGGCACGTCTCTAATCTGGAAAGGGCCTTAATCACAGGATTGACCAGCTAAATAGGTGCCAAAGAAATGCTTTTGGATTAGCAAACTCCACCCTTCGAATCATGGCTTTTCCCTACGCTGCTCCTAAACTAACGGGAGCAGTGGGGCACATTAGGATGGAATAGTGTGACCTTTTTTATCAAACTGACTCTCATTAAGAAGAGATAGCACCCCCTTCAAATCACAAATGAAAGAGGATGGTTGGCTTCAAATGCCTTCTGCTCCTGCATGCTCCTTCCAGGTTTATTTTGGTATGTGCACAAAAGGGGAAAAAGTTACCCTTTCAGTTTCGTGTCAAGAAAACACATGCACTCCTAAATAATTGACTAGAACATCCTGTTGGGATTGCCACTCTTTCAAGACAGGGAAGAAGACCTCATTAATAAGTTTGTTTGTTTATTTGTTTGATTTTTGAGTCTCCTTTTTTCCTTTCTTTTTATTTTTTTAATCTACTTTTTCTCGGTTATTTGGCCAAAGGCCTGAAGAGGGTTCCTGTGAAGTCAATGGGGAAGCTAAACAGAGCAAGCAGCAGTGACACAACCTCCTGTGGAGATGTATCAGGCCATTCCGCTGCATGCCTTGTGTATTTATTTTTGTGTTCTTCTTTGCCTTTGCCTACTACTTTTCTTTGATTTTTACAGTTGTAGCAAAACTTCTTTTTCTTATTTTTCTTCTTTTTTCCCCTTTTTTTTTTTTTTTTTTTTTTTTTTTTTTTTTTTTTTTTTTTTTTTTTTTTTTTTTTGGCAGGTTAATTTTTCAGAAGGAGGACCTGGTTCCAATTCTACTGGAAGTGAAGTAGCATCAATGTCCTCTCAGCTGCCAGATACACCCAACAGCATGGTAGCCAGTCCTATTGAGGCATGAGGAACATTCGCTCAAATTTCTGTTGTTGTTGTTTCTGCCCTTATCCTCATCCCGTTGGAGAGAGTGGGAAAGTGAACGTGTTGTGACTCCGAAATTTAGGGGGAAAGAATATTTAACAACCCCGTAAGAAACCTAGCAAGGAGCTGTTCCATGAGATGAACGGAGTCATGTTTGAAAAGACAAGGTAATATGGTAGCAACACTGTGAAGACAATCATGGGATCTTACTAGAAAAAAATACTAAAAAGAACCACAAACCCTGCGCTTTTCAATGATCAGAGGAGGATCAAAAAGACGTTTTCCAAACGTAAAGGATTTGTACCCGTGGATCTCAAAAAAAAAAAAAAAAAAAAAAATCTTTTCATTTGACTGCACATCTTAGGGAGAAACCAAGGTAGAGGGACTTTCTATTCGGTCCCTCCCAATCCGAATGGTGCTGTTTCTATATTGGGGATAGCCTTGCCAAAAGAAGCTCCAGTAAGTTTTCCATCATCAGGAAAGAGACGATTCAGCCCTGCATTGTTGAAAGATTCCTTGCAGGAAGGTGGAGCTGCATTGATTTGCAATGTTGTTTTTAGTTTACTCTTAACAAGGGGTTGTTTCCTGGGTCTCTTCTAGCATGTCTGTAGCGGGGTTTTGGTTTTGTTTGGTTGAGATCCACCCCCTCTTAAGTCTGAAGTGATTAAAAATAGATTTTCAATTTCCTCTTTAAAACAAATTTATAAAAACATTGCAACAAGGTATACCTCTATTTTGCCACAAAGCGTCTCGGGATTGTGTTTGAAATGTGTCTGCCCAAGAACCTTTCCCTCCCCCAAAGATGTGTATAGTCATTGGTTATAAGGACTGTTCTTCTCTCTTTCTCTTTCTCTCTCACTCTCTAGAAAAAAACAGAAAAAAAGTAAAAAAAAAAACAAAACAAAACAAAAAAACCAACAAAAAAACAAACCACAAAAAACCCCCAAAAAACAAAAAGAAAAAAATCACTCTTTTTGTTTGCTCTTGCATTGCAAAATTATAAAGTAATTTATTATTTATTATTGGAAGACTTGCCACTTTTCATGTCATTTGACTATTTTTGTTTGCTCAAGTAAAAAAGAAAAAAAAAGGAAAAAAAAAAGAAAAGGTTGTACCGTGGTCTTTGAATTATATGTCAATTCTATGTGGGTTTTGTCCTTTTTCTTTCCTTAAATATGATGTGAAATAAAAACGCCATATGTAGAATTATTATATCTTCAGGACTATTTCACTAGATAAGCGTTTGAAATAGAGAAAATAATAATAATAATAATATTAACATTAAATAATGAACAAAGTTCCCTCTTTTAAATATTTACAGCTTAGCAGCTAAAATACCTGAAATAAAATATTGCATGCAAAGCAGGTCGTTAGTGAATAAAAGGAGTGTGATATTTTATTGCAAGTATTAACGACCAGCTTGTAAATTTCCGTTTCAACAACTGTATCAGGGCTAGTTGGATGCCTTAGCTTTCAATTGATAAGGTTAGAAAGTCTCTTGTTTCTCCCCACCCCATCCCTTGCCCTTAAAAGTGATATTACTCTAGGCATGATCTGAAATAACGTTAAAACATCTAAAGAACTGGGAGCTCAGGCTTTTTCTGAGTTCTACTATTTTTAAAAAATAATAAAAAGAAAGTGCTGTATACCAAAGCCTCGTTGTTGAGATTGTTGAAGTGACCTGTGCTTTAAGTATAAGCGCCTGATAAAAAGGACGCTTTTTGCTTAACAAGTCAAGTATGACCATTATTTATCAGTGTCTGCTGTCAAAACAATTAAATAATGCTGCAGGAGGAATAGTTGTGGGGATATTTCTGTCGGGGATATTGCTGTGAAATTGCACGAATATGTTCCTTATTTTCTGTCGACTTCCCTCTCTTCACTCCGTCTTTTCTTCCTTTTTTAATTTGTGGGGCAGAGGGTGGTGAAAGCTCGAAACGTGGGCGATTGTTTTGGGAAATGTAGAAAGAAGTAAGGAAAAAAATGGGAAAGGGTTGTTTTTGCTCTAATCCAAGTGCTCCCTAGCGCTCGCGGGCAGCACAAGACAAAGGTTCGCTTCAAAACACCCTTAAGGACTGGAATATACAGAGAATTTTAGTCTGACAAAGACAAGTTGGTTTGCATGTCAGTTACTCCAAACCCCAATGTTTTCTTAACATAACCTTCTTTCCCCTCCCTCCTCACCATCTCAGCCCACCCTGAGCAAGCTCAGCTTTAGACAAACCATTTCGACAGTACAGAGAACATTAAAAAAATGTTTAAAATCTAATACAAGGATTTCAATCATCCTGATTAGAAACTGGATTCATTTTGTATGCTCAAGTGTAATACATTTTTGAGTACTTGATAAATATTTAAATAAATATGAAATCTACCTTAAACTGTGTGATCAGTAACCCTTGTGTTTTCATGCAGGATCAGAGGATTGGCACGGCGCTTCGGGGGGCGGGAGGGAGAAAGGGTGTCAAATCTGCCCCGTAGTCTGACGTGTAAGTTGCTGGAGTCACTCTTACTTGGGTGAGTTTGGAGACGCAGTCTCCGACTCGGGGGGGTCTTTAAGTGGCGCTGGGAACGTGTAAGGTCAGGGCAATCCGGAGACCTTTGCCTCCGCCTCTTACCTCCAGGAGGCTTAACGCGTAGGTGGGAAGAGCGGCGGCTCCGCGAGGTTGCGCGGGGGGGACGGGGACCCCGAAAGAGAGCAACCTGTGTGCTGCTGAGAGCCGCCTTCTTCCCCTGGGGAGGACCTTGAGGCTGGTGAACGTCTGTCGGCTCCGAGGGCCGCGCAGGGAGGCAAAGGCGACTTTTGGTGGGGGGAAAGCCCCCCAGCCCCGGGCCCCACGGTCCCGGCGCGCCCTCTGGGCGACTGGGGCTGTCGCCGAGATAAGTTGCGGAGGGGCTGAAGTTCTGGTTGCCAGTGCAGGGTCTTGCGCCTTGAAACACACAGGACAGCAGCAGGTCTGTGGAGTCAGAGCGCTGTCGCGGTTCTGCAGTGGGCTGAGGGCAGGAACCCCGCTGGCGATGGGCCTGAACCTACCACCAGGCTCCTGCCTGCAGCACCGCGGGGGCCTGAGCCCCCCAACCCTGTCCAGGGGGAGGGGGCAGGCGGATCGCTTCTGTGGCAGCCACTCGGTGGTCTCCGCGTCCCCCCCGGCACTGTAGACTGGAGATCACCTTGAAGCCTCTGCTCTCGAAACAAAATTCACCTTATTTTAAGATTATTTCTTTTATGGCCTTTTCCCTTGTCCCTTTTCCATGACATATAGCACACTGCAAACCTTCGAGTGTTTTCTACCGTAGAGCAAATAAAGACAAACTGTCGAGGGGATTCTCCCAGTGCTTTCAGGAGAACACCTTTCCTGAACTTGGGCAGTAGGATTTGTGCAAGTGAGCGAAAAGCTCCTCTTCATGAAATGCATGTCCTTATGGCGCTCTGTCAGGTTCCTGCTCTGATTTCTCTTTCAAATATGGACGAGGGTGATGATTAGCAGTCCCAGGTCTGTCGGTTTTCTTCTTGCTGCAGCTATGTTTAATAATGTCAGATAAGGCCTGTTAAAGCCTGCTGTGATTTCTCTGAGGATTTTGTTTGCACACGCTGAGATCGATATTCAAACTCTTCTCATTTCAATATTTGTACCAGGTTAATTAGCTCTCAGCATTCCCAGCCAACGTGGCAATGAGACGCAGAAGCCGGGTACATGAATTCCAGAGTTGAGATCAGTTAAACATCTCAACAGTAAGTGTCTGCCTTTATATACATATCTATGCATACATATCCTAACAAATTCACGTTGGGTCACCCAAGAATGGATGTCAGGGAAGAAATCAGGGTCCCTCCGACAGTGCTGGCCCTCAGGCCGCAGCGTAGCAGCCGCAGTGATCAGCCGCGGGGCAGCTCCAGGGACGGAGCCGTGGTGCCGAGTGGGTTTCACGAGCACCCATCCTCCCTGGCTCCGTCTGCACGCCCGAAACGCCGGCAGCGTTTTACGGTGAGAGATGCTGCTGTTAGGCGCTTTGCGTGCTTCAGCGGAGCTGTAAGTAGTTAATAAAGGGGCTGGAAAGAGATCCTGTTTACTGATTGTTCCTGATTGTTGTTTTCTTGATAACAGCGCAAGCCACTGAATGACTATTTGAGCTCAGGCGCCACAAACATAAACTTAACAGCTCCCAATGTGCCGGCCCTGCTGGAGGATCACTCCTCACCTCCCGGGGCTTGTGAAGTGCAGGCAGAGAAGGCAGCTCCCAAGAGAGGCAGGCTCCGGGGAGAGTGGCGGGGGGCGGGGGGAGCAGTGAGCGGAGGAGGCTCGCCTGTATACCCGACCTTTAGATATTGCACAGTATCTGCCTTCTTGTGAGGGCCTTGCCAGCAGCAAGGCTCGTAAAATAAATAGGGGTCTTTCTCCGAGCCTTCTGCCCGTGCCGGAGCTCAGGGTAGGCTCTAATCTCCACTCTGCCCAGCATCCCAGCTGAAAGATGCTGCTTTCACAACACGCTGTTGTTTCGTTTGAATTTCGCTTAAATTTTCTCGCAGAGGCTAATAAACACTAAACAAGTGCTTTTTCGAGACTGGGGAGGGAGAGTGATGGAGGCAGGGAGGGCCCGCAGCATCGCAGCATCAGACCCGCGTCCCGGGCCCGGTGTTCAGGGATTGGCGGCACCGGGATAAGGATCCCGCCGGGCAGCCCGACCACGCTCCTCCGCGGCTGCCGCTGGAGGAACCACCTGCGACTCCTGCTCTCTTCTGGGGTGTGTAGTGCGGGGAAAGAAGGAAGGAGGGGAGTTGAAAAACAGGATATTTGCTGGAGTGTCTTTTTTTTCTTTCTTTCTTTCAATTGTTTTATTTTATTATTTTATTTTATTTTACTTTATTTTTTATTTTGTTTTATTTATTATTATTTTCTCCTGGCAGACAAAAAAAAAAAAAAAAAAGAGTAAAGTGTGCTTGAGGGGGAGAAAGAGAGGGCGGAAATTTTTCCAGAAATAAGTTACAGGCACCAAAAGAGAGCTCGGTTTCTATCTCCGGGAAGACCTCGGGCGGCAGTGGGAAGAGGAAAATAGGGTGTTTCTGTGGCTTTTCTTTAGGAGAGCTGTTCAGGTCGGTAGATCGCCATGGTTAATTCAAACAACCCGTTTGACTTGTGAGGTCCGGTGTCTAGACATAGCTGGTGACTCGGCGGCTCCTTATCTGGTTTTGGAATCAGCCAAAAGAGACTTTTCTTAATGTCCGCAGCAGCACTAGGATCTGCCGGGGAGCCACCGCACCTCGCAGACAGGACAACAAATACACCCACCACCTGGAGGCTTTACAGCCCACTTT